TTCATTTCCAGCATGATATCACAATCTTCAACAAAAATCTCGAATGTACAGATTTTTTGTAGTTGTCTCCAACATTCACCATATGGTGAAAAGACTTTTTATGCTAAAATCTGAGGCCTTGATGCAAATGTTACATTATGGATCTTAATCACTTCTATGGCATATACGGACAAGGAAATAATGATAGTGGAAACTTCTCCAAATTTCATATGCATAAAAGGTTCATATTTCTTGGCTCAAGTCTTGTAGTCGGCGGTGGGGAGAGGTGGCAACAAACTGGTGTAAATTTCCTATGAGAGGTAATTTCAAGGCCCTGGAGGCAATATCTTCCCAATTTTAGCCACCACGAATAGAAAGAGAAGACACGTGACAAGAATTTAGAAGTTGGGGAATGTGAGCTCGATGAGAACAGTACAGTGAGGATCGAACTATGAACTAAACTTAGTATTATCCTGAAGCTAGCTAATATATTGTAGTTTTATTTGTGCAAGAACAAAATCTGAACAAAATATAATGCAAAAAAGACATAATAGAGACTGCAAACTCACACAATCTGTATTGAATCAGCAGCAAATATATACAACATTTTATAACAGAAATACTTAACAAACTTGCTAAAAAAACTGAACATGGTTCCACTAATAACTTATCCCTAAAAACAAGCACATGACCATCACTACTTCAAAGACTAAATCTGGAAACACAATTCAACAACTTTCTTTCAGCACCAAATTTGCAACCAACCATTATGCAGCAATCCTTGACCAAATCAACGAAAAAAACTCTCATGTACTTTTTTGGCGTGTTTGAACTCATGGACATAAATTGTGCTGTCAATGTTTTAGACTAGAAATTTATGTTGTGGCTCATTTGTCATGGAGCTGCTGCGGTTGTCAAGTTCTGTATTAGAGTTAGTATATAGTTCTTTCAGTCTAATCATGAAACCTGTTTTGCCTCAGCCTCAGCCTCTTTATAAACACATGATCTTTTATCTTTTTCTTATGGGAGTTTCATACCAATGATGTTAATTACAGTTTGGACATTATCGCTAGTTACCCACAAAGAATTCTTATCATAATTAGGTTGCTACAAAGTGTTAGTACTATTATTTGTTGGTATTCACCCATATGTTCATTACTATTATTATTTTTGATAGACATAGTATTATTCAACAGAATTATATTAGGGAGAGGCAGAGGTAGTTACATTAAAAGTGATCATTTTTAAAATTACATCAATCTCAAACTAACTAAATGCTTATTGGTAAATGGAGGCAGAAAACATAAACAGACAGAAATTGATTACTTTAGAGCCTAAGAATTAGGCTATGGATGATAGGGAATGGGAATCAGGTACAGATCATTTTTCCTTCTGAGTGTCACACCAAAGGACTCGGTCATGTCCAAATCTTCATTCTTCATTCCATCAGGAAGTTTCCAGTCAAAATGATACAGCAACATTGCTAGTGGAAGCTCCACATTGGCAAGACCAAATGAAGCTCCAGGGCACATTCTCCTTCCAGCACCAAATGGCAGGTACTCAAAATTAGTACCCTTATAGTCATTAGAACTATTAATGAACCTCTCAGGATTAAAACTCTCAGGTTCATTCCAATATTCTGGATCTCTTCCAATCGCCCATGCGTTAACAATGACTTTGGTATCGGCAGGTACATTGAACCCATTAATCTCACATTTCTCTTTACATACTCTTGGAACTAACAATGGAACAGCAGGATGCAACCTCAAAGTCTCTTTTATCACTAGTTTCAAGAACTTCATTTCAATAATACCTGTTTCATCAACCTTTTCCATTCTATTAAAGACTTCCCTCACTTCAGCTTGTGCTCTTTCCATCACTCTTGGATTCTTTATCATTTCAGAAATTGTCCACTCCAATAATGTCGAAGATGACTCGATGCCACCACTAAACATGTCCTGGAAAAAGAGTTACATGATTCTGAGTTTAACCACTAAAACACTAATTAAAAACAAGAACAGAAATTAAGTTACGCATTCAAGTCCAAGGGGTGAAGGTACTTACAAAGATTACCGCTTTGATGTTTTCGTTAGTTAATGGAAATTGAAGATCTTTTTGCTCTTGAAGTTTCAAGAGAACATCAACCAGATGTTTAGCTCCTTCACTCTTGTCAGACTTCTTGCGCTCGTTGATAATGTTTTCAATTACTCCATCAGATTCTTCATTCAGCTTCTGCAAATAACGATTCATTCCACTGATGGATTCGAGCAATTTAACGGAAGGAAACAGATCTGTAATATTAAACCCTCCCATTGCCGCCATCTGATCCTTGACAGCAGATATGAATAGTTCTTGGTCAGCTTCACGCACTTCACCAAAGGCTGCCCTGGAAGTCACAGCATATGTTAATTCAGAAATTTTAACCGAAAGGTTGTTCACTGATCCTGATTTTGATGCAATCCAATCAATTAGCTTAGTGATCTCTTCTTCTCTCACTGATCGGAAAGATTGAACTCGTTTGGCACTTAAAAGCTCCAATGTACAAATCTTCCTTAGCTGTCTCCAGTAATCACCATATGGTGAGAATGCTATATCAGTATAACCATAAGATACGATATTTGCTGTAGGATTATATGGCCTTGATGCAAATGTAATATCATGAGTTTTCATCACTTCTTTCGCGAAATTTGGTGATGAAACAATAACCGTAGAAATCTCTCCAAGCTGTAGATGCATAAAGGGTCCATATTTCTTGGCCAGATCTCTGAGTCTGCGAGTTGGTAGAGAGCCAACAAGCTGGTGCAAATTTCCAATCAGAGGCAGTTTCGGTGGGCCTGGAGGTAGATTTGAAGTTTCATTAGTGTTTTTGAATGTCTTTCCTATTTTCAGGACCATGAGGATAAAGAGAAGAAAGGTGAAAAGGATTGAGAAGTTGGAGAATATGAGCTCCATGAGAAAGTATAGTGAGGATTGGACTATGAATTAAGGATTAGCCAGAACCATCTATATAGATAATTTCTTTTCCAAAATTCTATTTAAAAATTATACAGCTTTCTATTTAAAAATTATACAGCTTTCGTAATCTCCACTTAGTTATTCCCTACAGTAAAAGACAGAGAATAAGACAGCGAACTCAGTTTAGGATCTTTTCCAAATTTAAGCTTTCGGAGTTTAAGGAAGAAGAGGTAATTACTAATTTAGGATCCTTTCCTAGTTTAAGCTTTGACCTGAGCAAGTATAATAAAGGAAAAATATAATATATAAAAGAAATAGATTTTAGCAATACATAAATAAAATAAACAAATTGTTGAAGTTGAATTTGTCCCACATCACCAAGTTGGTGGACTTTTATAGTGTATATATGTGGTTGGACTTCTTTCTCCTTTGAGCTAGCTTTTGATGCCTCCAAGTTGGAGGAGGATATTGAAATTGAATTTGTCCCACATCTCCAAGTTAGTAGACTATTATGGTTGTAAGGGGTTTGAGTTTTACCCAAACCACTTGGTTACAGGTTGGAAGAAGGGTATTGAAGTTAAATTTATCCCACATCGCCAAATTGATGGTAAATTTATCCCACATCGCCAAATTGATGGACTGTTATGGTTTTGAGAGAGAGCATTGAAGTTGAATTTGTCCCACATTGTTAAGTTGTTGAACTGTTATGGTTGTGACAAAGGGTATATATTGAAATTGAATTTGTCCCACTTTCCAAGTTGAATTGTTATGATGTATATATGAGCTAGTTTTTATGTTCGAGTTCTATCCAAACCACTTTATCACAAATGATACATCAAGAGAACTCAGATAAGCAGAGAATATAGTTTCTATAAATTTCAGCTTTCCGGATCTTCACACAGTTATTCTCAACACTCAGAAACAGAGAATAAAACAAAGATGCTATAGTGTTGACTTATTTTATTAGTAATTTAAAGTTTATAACAACCACCTATTATTTTATCAGAAAGATTCGATAGTTTTAAACAGTTGCTATAGTCAATGAAATAAAAATAAATAAATAATGAAGAGCAAAATTAGCAGAATCAGGTCCATCTTTGAAGGACTTTAAACCCCAGAATCTTATTATTGGACTTAAATTAAAAAAAAAAAAAATGCTGATGATTCCAAAACATATTTTTCAATATGCTTTAAGTTCGTATGAGATGTCTCAATAGATGCTAAAACAAACACCACATTGACAGTTCCTGTAGGAAGGCTGAATATTTTAAGCAAAAGCTTGTGTCATCATCAGTGCAGCTTGAAACTTAAATAATACTTAAGTCTGCGTCAATTATTGCTAGTTGGGTTGAATGATGATAAAATAGATAAATGAAATAATGAAGCATATAACAGTCTCATGTGAAATATGTTGATGCATTCCAAAAATAATGTAACAGCACAAACAATGTAATTTTAAATGCTTTTATTTTCTTTCTCAGTTAAGCTTAAGTTTATAGGTGAATGTTTTTTATCTATCTCAGTTAAGCTTGTGAGTGCTCAACATATATTAGTATTGAAGTTGAATTTGTCCCACATTGCCGAGTTGGTGGGTTGTTAGTTTTTGGGAATGAGTTTTACCTAAACCCACTTTATCATAGTATCCGAACCACGTTTGTTTGAAGCTATAATGGGTTTGGATCCGGCCTTGTAGAGGCGATGATGGGTTTGGACCTGGTCTTACATGTCGAGTGTGAGAGAAGGTATTGAAATTGAATTTGTCCCACATCACTAAGTTGGTGGACTACTATGGTGTATATATGTGGTTGGACTCCCTCCTCTCTTGAGCTAGCTTTTAGACTTGAGTTCTATCCAAGCCTACTTTATCAATTAGACCAATTGGCCCCCTCACATCAAACTTAGATTTTTTTGCATTTTTCTAAAAACTTAAGCTTGTAGGTGAGGGTTCAACATATATTAGACTAACATAGATAATTTTTTTAACGTTCAATATCTCAACTTCCCTATAATATTGTCTAATACATATAGATTTTTTATTTATTAAAATCCATTATAAATATCCCATGTAAACAAACAGGTATTCGTTCCTTTCGGGCTTATGCACCTGTCGAAGGATGATAAGGAATGACAATAAGTTGCAGATCATCTTTTCTTCTAACTGTAATACCAAAGACCTCTGTCATGTCCAAATCTTCATTCTTCATTCCATTGGAAAGTTTCCAATCAAAATGGTACAGCAACATTGCTAGTGTAAGCTCAACATTCGTCAGGCCAAATGACATTCCAGGGCATACCCTCCTGCCAGCCCCAAATGGGATGAATTCAAAATTAGTCCCCTTGTAGTCGACAGAGCGATTGAGAAACCTCTCTGGATTGAAGATCCCAGGTTCATTCCAATATTCAGTATCTCTTCCAATCGCCCAAGCATTAACAATGACTCTTGTTTTCATGGGTATGTCAAATCCATTAACAATACATCTTTCGCTACTTTCTCTTGGAACTAATAAAGGAGCATAAGGATGTAGTTTCAAAGTCTCTTTTACAACTAGCTTCAAGAACTTCATTTCGTCAATGCTCGTTTCATTGATCTTGCCTTTCCTATTGAAGAATTCCCTCACCTCAGCCTCTGCCATCTCTAGCAGTCTTGTATTTTTCATCAGTTCACTCATTGCCCAATCTACAGTTGTAGCAGCTGTCTCACCACCAGCACCAAAAATCTCCTGAAAAGAAGATTTATGTATATTTCTCGGTTAAACCAGTAGATCAAAGATGGTTTTTCTATTTCACATAGTATTATTTAAGGACCAAGTATTAGACATAGTAAATGAATAAACAAATATGGGAGTAAAGATCTTAAGTACTGATTTTAATTGGATTTGAGTTCAGTCATTGTTAAGAGATTGATACGTCGAATTGTATGGAGGGTACAAAACATTGCTAAACAAGTAAAAGTTAATTTCTTACCAAGACCACTGCTTTGATGTTGTCAGTAGTCAAGGGAAATTCAAGTTCACCCTGCTCTTGAATTCTCAAAAGTACATCAACCAGATCTTCAGCTTCTTTACTCTTGCCAATATTTGATGTGACCTTGCCCTTCTTGTGTTCATTGATAATACTTTCAAGTATCCTATCAGTTTCTTGTAGCAGCTTCTCTATTTGACGCTTATCTCCAGTGATTGATTGTAGAAATTCAACGGAAGGATACAAATCTGCAATATCAAAACCTCCTGCCACTTTTGTAGTTTCATCCATAAGTGATATGAATAATTCTTGATCCTTGAATTTGTTGCCAAAGGCTGCCCTGGAAGTCATACCATATATTAAAGAGTGAACTTTCTCTGTAAGGTTAAAAGGTGATCCGGCTTTTGAAGCAATCAAAGTAATGAGATTAGCCACCTCTTCTTCTCTAATTACCCGAAAAGACTGGACTTGTTTCATGCTTAAAAGCTCCAAAGTACAAATTTTCCGTACTTGTCTCCAGTAATCACCATAAGGTGTAAAGACAACACCAGTAGAATCATGAGACATGATTTCTGCTGCTAGAATACAAGGTCTCGATGCAAAGATAACATCATGAGTTTTCATTATTTCTTTGGCGAATTCATAAATGGTCCATATTTCTAAGCCAAATCTCTCAGTCTGTGATGGGGTAGAGAGCCAACAAGCTGGTGCAAATTTCCAATGAGAGGTAATTTCCATGGCCCTGGAGGTAGATGCAAATTTCTGTGACTGGTTTTGGAACTTTTCCCTATTTTCACCACCATGAACAGAAAAACAAGAAAGGTGACAAGGATTGAAAAGGAAGGCAATAGGAGCTCCATGGGAAAACTATAGAGTAGTCAGGTTTGGATTATCAGTATACTCGACCTTTTATGCTTTTTTGAGTTAAGAATTAGGTAGAGGCAACTACAAGGATCAAGAATTCTCGTCTATGGAAGAAAGTTTTCAGTTATCACTTTGAAAGTTGTTTAGAATTTCAAGACAATATTTTTGTCAACACTTGTGTCATGTCTGCTTTCTGATTTTCAACATACGGCGGCACCCTACACTTGAAAACAGATAAGAGAATTCAAGTTAAAATTTTCTGCTGACTTATTTTCTTCCTGCTTTCAATCAACCATCACAAATTATTTATCATAAACATTGGATAATTATATAATATCTATTATAAGTAAAAAAAAAAATGTTGATCATTCCAAAATAGTTTGTTTCATAAAGACTTTTCTCATTTCTCATCGTTGAAAGATCAAAGTGAAGTGACAGCTATTACAATGGGGAATTTTCAATCAAACTGACACAACAAATTGCTAGCAGAAGCTCCACAATGTCCAGACCAAATGACATTCCTGGATGCAACCTCCTACAGGAACAAAGTCCCCCGATTTTTCCATTGCCCCTGAGTTAACAATGAGTTTTGTATTGATGGGTATATCAAATCCGTTAATTAAACATCTTTTTCTAAATTCTCTCGGAATTAACAGAGCAGGAGGATGCAGCCTCAAAGTCTTTTTTATAACTAGCTTCAGGAATTTCATTTCTTTGACGCTTGCTTCATCGATCTTCCCTTGTGCCTTCTCCAGTACTTTATTATTCTTCATCATTTCACACTTTGTCCAATCTACAGCTGTGGCAGATGTTTCACTACCAGCTGTAAAATTACTCTTTTCCAGTACAGGCCTTCAGTTCTAGAATGTAGTACTCTACTAAGTTCAGATTATTGTAAACATATAATTTATATGCATCAACAATGTAGTGCTCTACTATGTTCAGATTACTGTAAACATCTCTTGCTTCCTTTAGGGCTTATGCAACCGTTGAAGGGAGATATGGAATGGCGATCAGGTGCAAATCATCTGTTATGCTAAATCTGATCTCAACCTAATCAATTCTACCAAAACCGCAACTTCACACACACATACACGAAACTTAAACAGCAAAGAAAATGAGAATACCAAAGTTTTACCGTGGTTCACTTATTCCACCGGAAGAAGTTACGTCCACGTTGAGCTCCAAGAATTTGGGGCTCGTTGCACTATAAGAATCAAGAACATACTAGATTACAAGAGAGTTCACTAATTTCCCCAAATCACTCACTCACAATAATCCCTCAAATCAGACTATAACCCTTAACCTAGAGAGAAACTTAATCTAGCCTCACAATATTTTGGATCTCTTCCAATCGCCCACGAATTTACCATGAATCTGGTTTTGATGGGTATGTCAAATCCATTGATCACACACGCTTCTCTACGTTCTCTTTGAATTAACAAAGAAGCAGGAGGATGCAGCCTCAGAGTCTCTTTTATAACTAGCTTCAGGAATTTCATTTCTTCAATGCTTGCTTCATCGATTTTCTTCCCTTTTCTTCTAAAAACTTCCCTAACCTCAGCTTGTGCCTTCTCCAGTATTTTGGTATTTTTCATCATTTCAGACATTGACCAATCTACAGTTGTGGCTGATGTCTCACTACCATCACCAAAAATATCCTGAAAAGAAAATTTATTCACCAATCTGAGCCAAACCATTTGACAGAAATTAAGTTTCACACAACCCACTTGCTATACAAACATTACTTGTATATTCTACTCGGCAATTAGGAGATAAAAATAAACACCAAGTTAAGTTCAAATATGAGAATTGAAAAAACTTACCAAGATTACTGCTTTGAGGTTCTCAGTAGTTAAGGAAAATTCAAGACCACCATGCTCTTGAAACTTTCAAAAGAACATCAACCAGATCTTCACCTTCTTCACCAATTTTTAATGTTGCCTGACCCTTCTTGTGTTCATTGATAATGTTTTCAATTATCCTGTCAGTTTGTTTATGCATCCTCTCTAGTTGAGGCCTGATTCCACTCACAGATTCAAGAAATTTAATAGACAGAAACAGATCAGCAATGTTAAAACCTCCTGAAGCAACTGTAGCTTCTTTGATAATTGATATGAACAAGTCTTGATCTTTCCATTTGTTTCTGATTTGGCCTGCTTTTGAAGCAATCCAATCAACGAGAGTAGACACCTCCGCCTCTCTTATAAATCGGAAAGACTGGACTTGTTTCGTGCTTAAAAGCTGTTGGTTTTTAGAGCTGGAGAATATTAAGGAAAGAGGACTAAAGCAGACGTGAGAGAGAGCTATAAAGAGAGCAAATCTGAACTGAAATTTTACTCTGTTTTTCATTCAAAAAACAGGGGTAGTTTTTATACAAGAACTTGCTACTATTCCACCTAAAGTTACAAATTTAAAATTTAAACCAAACACTCCAACTAATGCACGTACAAACATATCAAAATACATCATTTTATCAACCTAATTCACCTAAACACATCACTGAAATATTTTCTAAAACAGTGACCAAAAACAACTTCTGCATGCACAGCAGCATTTCAAACTGTGGCGCCAAAATCTTGCAACTCCCACTGTGTGTTGACTTCATCATTTCCAGCAAGATATCATCATCTTCAACACTCTTCCTTGATATTTTTGTTGGAAACACTAAGTGAGCTTTAATTCTTCAAACTTGGCTTTGGACAAAGCTTTGGTCATTATATCTGCAACTTGTTCTTCATTAGTAAAGAGAACTCCTCCTCCATTGCAGCTTCTCCAAGCATCAGATTTGACTGCCTCATTGTAGCTTGTTGGTTCTAACTCAGCCACATTGCCCCTCTCATAAAGTTCAGATATTGGCTTTGTACCTCTGACTGGAACTTCATCAACTTCATCTGAATTCACTTCTTCAATCTGACTTTCGGGCATTCTATCTTGCTGGAAGCTTGGCTTGACTTTAACTTGACTTTTTTCCCAATTCCAAACAACACACTCATCCACCTTGACATCTCTATTGACTATGTTAGCTGAATGGTTTTGAAAAATAGCCTTTCCCAACTCTACCAGGAAGCTTTTTCCTTGCATTCTAACTCTCATTAACTCATTCCCATCACATTCTATAATGACACATACTGAGTTTTTAAAATGCAGAGAATAATTTCTCTCAAGCATTTGTCCTACACTTAGCAAGCTTTGACTAATTTTGGGAACAAATAAAATATCATATATGAATTTGGTACCTGACTTGGTTTGGACAGAAATATTTCCCTTGCCTCTGACCTCTAGTAGCTCTCCATTTTCTAACTTCACTTTGGATCGATAACTCTGATCTAAGTTCACAAAATGACCAAGGTTTTGAGTCATATGGTTGGTGCAACCACTATCAATTAACCACACCTCTTGATCACAATCAGCTACACATCTTGAAGCCATAAACAACTGCTCAGGTTCTTGAGTCTGCTGTTGATTCTCCACTTCTTGGGATTGATGCTCCTGTTACCCTCCTTTATTCTTGCACATCCTTTCTACATGTCCAAACTACTTACAAGACCTACATTGTATGCCAGGCCTGAACCAACATCTGTTTTCAGAGTGGTTCTTTTTCTTGCAGTGAGGACAAGGAGGAAAAGGTTCTCATTCTCGTATTTTTTCCTCCTTCGTTGTTAACTTCGTCCTTTCCCTTCTTCTCTCCAACATACCTCCTATTTTGGCTTGCTATCATGGTTCCTTCACTTGAGTCTTCCTGCCTCAGCAACCTCCTCTACTCTTGTGCTTGAAGAGAATGCAAAAGTTCTACTAAGCTGATTTGGGACAGGTCTTTCGAGTCTTCAAGTGAAGAGATTTTTGCCTCAAATCTCTCAAGTAAACTGACCAAAACCTTTTCTACTATCCTCTTGTCAATCAACTCTTCACCAAGTAGCTTAATCTTGTTCACCACATTCATCAGCCTATCCACATACTCCTTGACAGACTCAGTTTCTTGCATCTTAAGCATCTCAAATTCTCTTCTCAGGTTTAGAACTTGCATGTTGTGTGTTGTATTGCTACCCCCAAACTCCTTCTTAAGCTTATCCCAATCCTCTTTAGGAGTTTCACACGCCAGACTTGGTCTGTCACTACCGAGTGTATGTAAGATAGGGCCTTTGGTGCTTTAGACATCTCCTCTTCATGAATCCTAATTTGGTTCAGTGTGGGGTTTACTCCCAATTGAGGAACTTGCTTCTCCTCCTCCACGTATTGCCACAAGTCATGGCCTCTTAAATAAGTCTTCATCTTGACAGCCCATACATGGAACTGATCTCCATTGAAGATGGGTGGAGAAAGTGAAGCTGGAGCTGAATCCATGAAGTAGATTATGTATGGTGTTGAGTTTTGTTAAGAGGTTTTTGTTTTTCCAGGTTCTCAAAGATCACAACAGCTTTGATACCAATTGTTGGTTTTTAGAGCTAGAGAATACTAAGGAAAGAGGACCAAAGCAGACATGAGAGAGAGCTGTAAAGAGAGAAAATCTGAACTGAAATTTTGTTCTGTTTTTCATTCAAAAAACAGGGTATTTTTTATACAAGAACTTGCTACTGTTCCACCTAAAGTTGCAAATTTAAAATTTAAACCAAACACTCTAACTAATGCACGTACAAACATATCAAAATACATCATTTTATGAACCTAATTCACCTAAACACATCACTAAAATATTTTCTAAAATAGTGACCAAAAACAACTTCTACATGCATAGCAACATTTCAAACCGTGGCGCCAAAATCTTGCAACTCTCACCGTGTGTTGACTTCATCATTTCCAGCAAGATATCATCATCTTCAACAAAAGGTCCAATGTACAAATCGTCCTTAGCTGTCTCCATTAATCACCATATGGTGCAAGACAAGATTAGTAGAATCATAAGACAAGATTTCTATTACTAGAATCTGAGGCCTTGATGCAAAGTTTACATCTTGAATTCTCATAACTTCTTTCGCAAACTTTGGCGATGAAATAATAACGGCAGCAATTTCTCGAAGCTGTAGATGCATAAAGGGTCCATTTTCTTGGCCAAATCTCTGG